TTGCTGAAAGGTTAAAGAGGTCTTAAGCTTTTCTCTGCTGTGATTAAACATGAATTAATTACTACTGGTAAACAGTTTTCCTTGTGTGGCTTAAAATGAGCCACTCAGGAAATGAGCAGGCTTCAAAAAGGTATGGAAACAAACAAACAAGCATTGCTTTTTAATTCCATATTCTACAAATATTTTGAAGCCCTCTTGAAATGCAGTTACATTTAAGTTTTTATCAAGAAGCTCTGCTATGATGAAATATTGCTCTATTTAACATTTTCTAACCTATTACTTTTCAGAAATGAGATATGATGAGTGCTTAATCTAGTAATGTCAAAATTCACTGTATTCCTATTGCATTGCTATGTCATTGCCTAACAAAACAATGCTTTGGAATTCACATTCCACTGTGCCTTAAGAGCACAGCATTCTACTGCTTTCAACATGCTTGGTATAAAATGGTAATAAAATATCACAGGATGGCAACTGTATGTGGAAATTAAAATGTTATTATAACTACATCAAAGATTTGTAGTGTGCTGTGCAGCTGTACAAAACTATTATAGAGTGCTACATGAGGTCTGTTGCAACTATTAGCTCTACCCTTGTAGCATGAAAGTAGCCATATACGATATGTGTTTTTTAAAAAAAGGTTGTGACTATATATCCCAGTAAAATTATTTATGAGCACCAATTTGAATCTCTGATAGTGTACCAGGCTATGCACTAGGCTGCTAGCCATAGGTTAGCAGTTCAAATCCGTCAGACCTTCCACGTGAGAAAGATGAAGTTTTCTGCTCTTATAAAAATGTACAGCTTTGGAAACCCTCAGGGGCAGTCCTATTCTGTCCAGTAAGGATGTTAAGGTTTGGGATCAATTTAATGGCTGAGTTTGATTTTAATTTTTTTAAAATTCCATTTGTATTTCAAAGCAAGGATGTTAAGACTTCGTCTCACATACTCCCTGAAAAAAGATATCATGCTTGGTGTTGCCAGAAAAGAAGAGGAAGACCCTCAATGAGATAAAATAACATACAGGCTGCAACAATGGGCTCACATCACAATGGGCACAGGAGTAGGCAGCTTCATTCAGTTGTCCCTAAGGTTGCCAATGAGTCGAAACCAACTTCACAGGGCAAATCAACAAATTTGAAGTCGATATATATTTTGTATCTTCTAAAAGAGTATCATTATTTTCCTATTTGGACTACTTTTTTCATGTAAAATATTATTCTTTGCATATAGGGTCATATAAAAGCCAATGGTAAAACACAATTTGTTGACCCCAGATTGAATTAATTTTACTATGAAAAGCAATAAAGGACAAACATCTGGCTTCTGTATAGACAGTGAAGACAAACTGTCAGATTACCTAAACCTCAGTTTTTTGGGCAAATGAAGGTAACATTAGTAGCTACCAAACTGGTTGTCTTGAGGATAAAGTGAACAGGTATGTAAATCTTATAACAGTACCTCTTATAACAGTACCTCTAGCTGTAGGTTAACTAGCATCCAGCCAACCCCCAACTCTTGAGGATCCCATATGTTAGATTATAATTATTTCACAGGGTTATCATAATCATTGCTGTTCATCTACATGGAGGCTGAACACCAGGCTGGACTGTATCACCTGAGTCCTAAACAGTAGCTAACATAGTAATGTTTTAACTGTCTATAGTGCTTCCTGAGAATCTAATCCCTAAAACATTATGTTAGCACTCTGTATGCTGTAGAGAGAGAGTGCTCATTGACACAAGCAACCTACATGGGTATTGAAGACATCCATAACATACCCAGATGTCCACAAGATAACTCAGACACTTCCATAGTACCTCACCACATCAATAGCAATGTTCTGTTATACTTAGCACCATCTTACTAGCACTCTCATTCCTATACAATTCAAACTGCTAGGTACCGTATATACTTGAGTATAAGCCAACCTGAATATCAGCCGAGGCACCTAATTTTACCACAAAGACTGCATTAAAAATGTGCTGAAAAACTCGGCTTATACACGAGTATATACGATATTATCACTCTTCTTGGGTATTGCTTGGGTATTTCCAACACAACAATATTTCTAACCACCCACCTGCATATTGTTGCATATCTAGATTAATGAGCAAGAGACATAAAAGTGAGATTTTAAGATCTACTACTATTAGCAGCAATGTTATACAAGCTCTGATGGCACAATTGTTAAAGCACTTGGCTTTGAATCCAAACATTGCTGTTTCAAACTCACCAGGCAGCCTGTGAGAGAACG